AGATCTTCTCAACTTTTCGGAGGCAGTTCTCCTCTGTTGTGCAGCCTTGCGTTCAAACATCCATTCCTGAAAACAGGTTCACTCATCATCTTCATTCATCGTTTTCTGTGATTCCTACATGAGTCTGGCATCAAGCACTGAACAGGAAAGAACCTCATTGATAGACTTTGGTTTTTCATTCTCCTTCTCACAAGTCTTCACTATGGTTTGTCTTTCCAGGCAATTAACTCACATCTCTACTTTTTGCATAGCTTACTTTGTCAATTGATCCCATAATCTGTACCCAACAATCAATCATTTGCCAAACCCAAGAAGATACCACTGTTTTGACTTCGAATTCAAGGCTTTGGGAGTCTTTCATCCTACTGCGAATATGAACAAAAGCCTCTACAGCCATTATATTTCTAAGATGTACGCCTAAGAAATATTTTTCCTTGACCACCCCCCCCCCCCCCCCCCAACCCTTTTTTGCTAGTTACATCGCTCCGTTGAGGCGAGCTTGAAGGTGAAAGGTTGATCAAAGTTTAACTGCCAGTATTCATTGCTTCAGCCCAAAAGGTTTTTCGGCAAGTCAAGTTGGCCACTGAGAGAGCATACATCTAACACCTCTTCCAAACAATGGTTCTTATTCTGGCTCCTGCAAACGTCCACTTCTGGTTGTGGAGTTTTGCGAACTTGTCTTCTGAAGTCTAATGCCATGTTCCTGAGCACAGTACTTCTCAAATGGTCCTCTATACGTCACCACCACTTATCAGGCTCGCTAACACATCTTACAACTTTCTTCCCGTTGTTTTCTTTCAACACCTTGACACTGGAAACGACTTTAAAACATATCCAGAACCTAGTCGTTTCTTGCACTTTATTTGCGTAAAGCCCCACACCTTTCTAGACATGGACATCATAAACCGCTGACGTAAAATATGAGCCAACTCACTCAAGGATTTGTCCACCCATTTGAGCCAAACATCAGGTTCGTACACCAAGCGTTCTAGAATACCAAGGCTTTCCTAGAAGGAGAAGGGGGGCATCTTGAAAGGAAACTCTTATGCTTGTTACCAGAACAAAACACCATCCAATGCATGATTTCTAAAGGCAAACCTTTCAAAGGATAGGCATTTTCATCTGGGTGAGAGTCTTCCATTCCTTTTTCCTCACTCACAAAGACCCAATCGTTGTGCCACACAACTTCATGCCAGCATAGAATCTTCACACCTGCAGTTCACCACTCCTGCTCAGCAGATGAATCTTCAACTGCATTCACCACTCCTGTGCAAACTTTGGCCTGGGTGTAGTAGAGGGTGTTGAACTTTCTTCCTCTTCCGAACACCAGGTTAACTTTGGAAAGCTTCAAGTTCTGTTGACAAACAGATTTGCATAACCCAATTTATCAAGACAATGAACTGAGATTAGATTGAAATTTGCCGTAGGAGTGTATCTCACATCTTCCAACCAAAGATCATAACCAGCATTGGTTTTGATGCATACTGTTCCAATACTGCAATTTTTCACATATGTGCCATTCAAAGTCTTGAGATGGCCATAATCTCCGAGGGTAAGTGATGAAAAATATTCCTTCTTTGAAGAAATATGATAATGGATATGAACATACAAAGCTCAATAATCCAAAAGCTTGGTTGACTAGTGGAACACTTCACTGAGACCCAGCATGAGACAATCCAAATGCCACTACCCATCACCGATCTGCATCAACATCAAAGCTACTGAAGCCTACTTCCGTAGTCGTCCTTTCTTTTCCTCCATCATTTCTTTTGGCTCTCCCTTCTCCAACTTTCTTACAGTGCCTTTGGACTCATGACATGGTCTTGCCTCATTTTCTTTGGCTCGTTCCTTCTTCCACTTTCTACAGTGCCTTTGGATATGACCGGGCTTGCCACAATGATAGCAAGTGACACCTTTTCTTGACTTGGATCTTCTCCGTGAATTGTCACGTTTGTTTGGATTTTAGGGGTATCTGGTTTTGCTTCTCCCCCTCCTTTCTGTAACTGTAACGAGTGCATCTGAGTTGCTACTCGTACCATTCTCCTTACGTCTGGTTTCTTCATTTAGAATACTTTCTTTAACTGTGGTTACGGTCAGATTCCCCTCTGACACATTACTGAGCGTGAGAATCAGCGTCTCCTAATTGTCCGACAAGGAACTCAATAAGAATAGTGCCTGCACCTGGTCGTCTAGCACTATTTTTGACATCGTCAGTTGGTTCAAAATTTCTTGGAATTTGCCCAAGTGATTTGAAGCACTTTCGCCATCTCTGTACTTTAGATTTACAAGCTTTCTCATTAAACAAGCTTTGTTCTGGGCATTCTTCCTCTCGTACATGTCCTCCAACTTCTTCCAGATTGAATAGGCATCTTTCTCATGAGTGATATGATTTATGACGCTCATTTCAACAGATTGTCTGGTAGTTGCGACTGTTTTTCTGTTAGTCGACTTCCAATCAGTCTCATTTATTAAAGTTGGCCTGACTCTTTTCAACTCAATCGTTTCAAAGAGATCTTTGCAGCATAGAAGATCTTCCAATAATATCTTCCATACTGCATAGTTTGATGAGTTGAGTCTAACCATTGTGCCTGTTGTTCTATCGTTCATTTTTGACTTGTGCAGAATATTATCACCAACAGAAACCGTATGCATGAATAGTGACCGTATGCATGAATAGTAATAGTATACGTAAATAGTACCGTATGCGTGAATAGTAACTATACACGTGAATAGTGCTGGCTTATTTGAAATGGACTCAGCAACAGTAACGCCAATAGTATTGTTCACCATCAACCTTGAGTTACTATTTTACTATTCATCACTAGATCGATTCTACAACGTCTTTTCGAATGGACTGCACCAATGGACTCGTCGTAATTTTCTCGTCATCGTTGTATATTTATTTTCAAAATATATCCAGGGATCCAGTACCGCTATCTGCTTGGCTGGATTTGTTGGAACCTTCAGCTCTGATACCATTTGTTAGGGCCCGACGATGAAAATTACGAAAATAATTACGGCAGCATAAAATTATGACACACAAAAATTTACATGGTTCACCCTTAACTGTTTAGGACTACGTCTACGGGACAAACTCTGAATTATTCTTCCACTATAAAAATAGTAAGCTTAAAAGAGAGTAGTAAAAAATAGTGACACTCAAAAATATTTTTTAAAAAATACCCTAAATTATCTTTACTATTTTCTTTACCCTAATTTTAGAACCCTTTCTAAAACCGAAAAAAAAAAACTCTCCAAAAATTTTTTTTCTTTCGCTCGGCTTGTGTGTTTGAAGCATTGCATCGTCCACCGATTTCTTCTTTGTTTTTTTTTCTTTTGTCAAAGATTGTGGATACCATAGGACCCACATGTTTTCTCTTTTTTAACATTTTCAACCCAATGAGTGGGCACGCCACAACACCACTGATGCTATCTGTTCCCTAAAAGAAATGCACAAGTCTTTGAAAGACTAACATATCAAATATCTTGCATGTCAAAAAACTAGTCATGGTAAAACCTATTACATCACAAATGCGTGCAACACAAACGCATACAATATTCACACAAGTGAAATTAATGCAACTTGACAACCACCATTACATAATCAAAGAAGATGCATATTCGTTGTTTTAACTCATAAAAAACCTCTAAAAGCAATTTCTTAATACGTTCTTCTACCGGCAAAGAGAGAAAAAACCTGAAACATCAGATCACATCTTTAAAATCCAATATGACAAGCAGTTATGTGAAAAGCGGGGCTCTCGATGCAATTGAGCAACAATCAGCATGTAAACAGAAAAAGAATAGCGAATGTTCTACCCTTGTGAAAGGGAAATAAAATCTTCCTATCACCATCAATTAGTCACCCAGCTGAAAAAATTTGGAACCATTCCAAGAGATAAAATTATATATGGTTGGTAAGGAACAACAAAAAATGCTCTCTGAAAGCAGTACAAAAGAAGAGTACAATGACTCAATATCTTAGTCTCTACTGTTTATAAGCTGATAGAAATAACCAAACTGTTCAGTGATTACTGACCATCTTTTACTTTTTTAATCATTTTATTATGCCAAGATTTTATTAATGTACTTCCATATAATTGCTGATTTTCACTTTTTCAACTAAGTCTAAAGCAGTCCAAAACTATTAACCCTCCCAAACAAAAGTCACTACATTTACTTATTCTACCAAAACTTCATTCCAAGGTAACCTGGTCAACAAAGGTGGACCTCAAAGACTTCAAATATGCACATTCATGCATGTATTTTGCATCTATGCTTTTTTTTTTGTTTAAGCATGGACAGCGAGATGTGAAAAAACTTGCAATTCGAAACACCCATAAAATTAATGAAAAAATAACTAGTAATTGAAAGAGTGACACTACCTTCTTGAAGGGCCTTTTGATTTGGCATTGTTGGATGCCACATGACACAACGAACTCATATAATCATACCTTCTAAGTAACACAACACAAAAATCAGTATTCTCAATGCTCCAGAAAGGAAAAACACAAGCTAAAGACTTGCAAAATGTTTTGCTGAATAACTAGTGATGGAATAAAAAATGCTAAGTAATCGTACGGCCGCATTGTAAACTCCAAGGAAGAACCTTCTTGTGCAATCATTTTCTGCAGATACCTAGAAGAGAAATCACTCATCGAAGCATGGAACAACTAAAGAACACAAGCAACAATTTCTTAACTAGAAGCCAAAGAATTAACACTTTTTATTCGGTGCTTATTGGATTGATCAATGTGAAATTCTATGGATTTCACAATCTATGGATAAAATTCTTCGAATTTCACATTCCATCGTTTGGTCTATGGATTTGAAATATATTTTTGGAAGAAATATATTTTTGGAATAAAATTAAGCGATTTAAATTTCATTGTTTTTTATTAACAAATATGATGGATTTGAGAAAATTAAATTGTCTTGTTTAACAACCTTAGAATTTAGTTTAAAGATTAAATTAAAAGCGAAATGGAATGGATTCAGTCTTATATAATACACATGCGAATGGTCTAATTTGAATAAGAAATAACTCTACATAGGAACATAGAATCTCTTATAAATGATTCTGATGACATCAAACTAAAATGGGATTATTACAAATAAAAATGGAATTCAGCCAAGCTTATTCTTGATCCCTCTCACCATTACATACCCAGAAAAGAAAAAGTTATTCTCAAAAGGTGTTTATATTGAAGACATCTCTTCAATAATAGATCTTTTTTTAGGAGGAAGAAGATGACTTTGCAGCTTCAATGCGAGCTCTAACATGAGCAATATGTTTATCTCTGGGAGGCAAGCATTCATTGATTAAACCTATTTCAAGAAGCTTTCCTATCCATTTGCATAGAACTGGAAATTTCTCCTCACTTATAAACTCAACTTGAGCAACTTCTTGAGTGACTCGAAACCCATTCAATATACAAAAAGCCACAATGTCTAAGTATCCTATAGTCTCACCTCCAAAGAATTCCTTTTCTTTAAGCTCATTTTCAAGAAACATAATCTGTTGATGGATTTCTTCAACGAGTTGCTTTTTCTCCTTCCCTTCAGCTGTAATAGTCTTAAAAGCTGTTGTCAAGACCTGCATACATTTTTAATGTCAATTAGACCAGCTTTAGAAACATTATCACTAAGCAAAAACTGGGGAAAAAGAAATAACTTATTCACCTTCTCTTGTACAAATTTAGACCAAAAGCGAGCCTTAGCTCTTTCATAAGGGTTTTCAGGCAAAAGAGGATCATTTTTCCATGTTTCGTCGATGTATTCAAGAATTACAAGTGATTCTGCAATGGGTTTTCCATTGTGAAGGAGCACAGGAACTTTTTTATGTACTGGGTTATACTTGAGGAGCAAAGGACTCTTGTTAGAGAGGTCTTCTTCTATGTACTGAAATTGAATCCCTTTTAGTTTTAGGGCTATTTCTATAGTGTGGCTAAAACCACTAGCCCACATACCAAATAGCTTCACTTCTTCTGCCATTTTGGTTTCTGCAATTCAATGTAATTTGTGATGCTAGGCATGTGATTGTGTTGGGTTCTTCTCTTCTTTTGCCTTTTTATAGGAAAGGAGTATACTTTTCCAGCTTTCTTGATGAACAGAATTCTGTGGTGGAGGTGGAGCTATCCTCAACAAATTCAAGGACTTTGAACAAGAAAGTGCTGGACACTTTCGTAACTTTTAGAAAATTATGCAAAATGGTTTTGTTTTTATATTTGCCTAAGTCATTGATGACCTCATGAACTAGCATATTGGACCATTAATATAGAAGGGGAGTAATGTGTAATTACTCTGTTTTCCCCTGTTTCTGCCCTGCTTTATTCTTTGAGGTTAACCCCATGACTTCAAATGCGATGGACGTTTTTTTTTTTTTTTTTTTTTTATTCTTTGAAAGGTTAACCCATGACTTCAAATGCGGAATTTTTTTTTTTTTTTTTTTTAATTTTAAATTTTATTTTAGCAAATTTTGCCTATGCGAAGAGGGACTTCGTCCCCTTCATCTAAAGTTTCTGTGAATAATATTTCTGTAAAATACTGATTTTTTTTTAATTCACTCCTTCTAACTTCTGAAAATTTTTCTTTAATCCCTCAATTAAAAGTTCGCTCTATCAGTTTCTATGTACACAAGATTGTTACTGAACAGTAGCAGATTATTGAAACTTGTTGGGCATGGACACACTTTTTAGCACATACTAGTATGGATATGCAAATGGGTGTTTAGGACTTTTTAGCACATACTAGTATGGATATGCAAATGGGTGTTTAGGTTCCAAACTGAATCGAATTGCAAAAATCAAAATTGTTTTTTATTGAAATTGAACCAAATCAAAGTAAGTCATGAAATCAAACCAAATTGTTCGGTAGACATCAATTTGATCAAACAATTCAGTTTAATTCAGAAAATAAGTATTTTATAATAATCAATCCCAAGACCTAAAACCAAAAAAAAAAAAAAAAAAAAAAGATTAGTAACTGATTTTGAAACCGAAAATCAAATAATCGAACCAAAAATCGAAAATAATTTGGCTCCCTTCGGTTTTCAGTTCTGTTCAAATTTGCTCGCCTCTACATACTAGAAGCTTGTAAGGGACTTTCTAGCTTACTTGGATCAACACATGGCAACTTCTTGGTTGCTGATTTATGTGAATAGATGTATAGATGCAGATGGATAGCTACACTATAATGTATTTCCGTATGCATTAGTAGTGGCTTTAATGAGGCAGGTCATTAAAAGAAAACAATACAAAAGAGATGGGTCAATGAGAGTGCTTTTATGTCACCATAAGGTATTTTTGCATTAAAAAATTATTGGTTTTCATAACACCAAGCTTTTTGGTTTTGACAGATTTCTTTCTGATAAATATCAGCCGGAAAGGGAGAGAAATCTATTTTAGAAACACAAGGACCGAGCTGTAGTTAATTGCATAATCCATGGACATGCTTGTAATTTTCTCATTTTTCTTTTGCCTAAAAAGAAAATGCAGTAAGGAAAATACAATATCTAACAAATTGATTGCCATTACCAATACCACATTTTATTGCAAGTAGAAGTTAGACATAAGCAATAAAGGAAATTAACCATAATATACACTACCAATCAATAAAATTAAACATGTTTAGCTTATTACCAACAAAATTTTGATAGCATTTCACTTGACACAGCAGATCGCACCGTAACTAATCAATTGGTTTGAAATAGTACTTGTCGTCTCCATGTCTGAGAATTATTGACTTCAGCCCTCTTAATGATTGACTTGTTGTCTCCATGTCTGCTTTAATGGCTTCATGTCACGGGCATAGAGTCTCGCGCAGCACTGCGCCCGTGCGGCGCCCCGGGAGCCCTCCCGCATAGCTCCGAGGCAAGCCTCGCCATACCGTACTCCCGCATAAGCTCCGAGGGCAAGCCTCGCCATAAACCGTACACACTGGTTTCGCCCTGCCATGGGCTTCCATCGGAGGGGCTCATCAGGAGAGCGGCCCAGCTCTCTACCAGTTGTGCCCGAGCAGCACACTACCCCGCCTGCATGCAGACTTTGCATGGGGTAATGGAGCACTGGGGCAGAACGCCTTAATCCGCTAAGCCGCTCAAACCCACGCAGGTTGAAACGCAGCTAGGTACGCATCTTTGATGCTGGCCTACACGGTTACGGAATTTGTCCGTAACATTCAGCCCTCTTAAGATTTGCATTTGCCAATAGGAGATCAATTACAACTTTCCTGTAATGTGGGCCATGGGTCAGAAGAAAAGAAGAATTGAGGTTAACATTAATGCATTACTTCAAGAGGTCATATTCTGGGTGAGGTTAACATTATAGCATTACCTCAATAGGTCATGTTCTGGGTGATCTGGAGATGACTTCAAAATATAAGAACCATGAATATTTGTTGCAACTTGGCTTATGATTTCTTGAAGCTCCTCTAGAGGTGCATCACCACCATCCGCTGCAAGTTTTGTAATCCTAGGATCTGCCTTTAGAAGAGTAGACAGAGACATGGCCAAGTCCCGCAAGCCTTGGCGAATCATTTCAAAGCTGCAAAATTGCCATGTCATTCTAAGAGATTAGTCCAAAAAAAAAAAAAAAAAAAAAAAAAAAGTTGCAGGAGCAAGCAAAAAAAAAAAAAAAAAAAGTTGCAGGACAAGCTTCCACCAATTTGTAACAACAAACTTAATGTAAACAAAGGCCTAATGATCTAATATGTCCTCAATGTTCCATATTTTCTCAAAATCCAGGTTGGGAAATTTTTATAAATTTGTCTCTTGTCCTCTATACTTCCACACAGGTCACCGGTGCAATGCTATCCAGAAAATCTCAGGTTGCAATTATATCCAAATAGTTTCTTCTGTTGCTTTAATTCAAAACAAATCCCAATATCATAGAACAAATCAACAATTGAAACACAACCTCTCCCCAAGTTCATAGGTCACAACTTGTGTTCTCAAATTATCGTTCTCAGTAATATTTGCATTTTCAATTTGTATTTTTAAGAAATTGCATACTTTTATGAACTACTTCAAGCAATTTGAAATTTGTTTTCCAATGTTTCCTCTTTGGTTAGCATTTAATCAATTGCACATGCCAGGAATTAAAGTATATATGATTACAACCAATAAAAAAATGGGTCAGCACATAATCAATTGCATGTGCCAAAAGTTGTTGGATACAATGCCAACAACTATACGCATACATGCATCAAATTGATAAAATTTCAAAAAACTGGATATAATTGAAAAGGTGGGAAAATTTGACAACCAATGGGATCGTTAGCCTCGTTTAAAAGAAAGAACTGCATCCGAAAGCCAATATATTGAGACCAAGCAAGGTGATTTTAATACCATGACTGGGACAGACATGGTAAAGCTTAAAAGGAATCAATCAATCTCTTCCCTACAACGTCATCGTGCAAATTTTAGTATCTGAAGAAAGTAGTTTTATGAACTCCAAATTTTTTATGAATGAAATTTCATAATGAAAAGGTTTAATCACAAAGGGAAAAAAAAAAAGGCTTGCGTATCTTTGCAATTTTTTCTTGTAACTTGAAAGTTTTCAATTTTGTCCCAGTTTACAAACTCAGTTGGAATTGTATCCAAAGTGAGAGGATGATCAAACTTGAAGTTAAAAAAATAACATCATATACTTGATCGAATAAAACAATATTTTTTAAATATTTCTCCCTTCTCTCATTCTCTACACCACGGTTCTCACTTCCAAAGGAAAAATCCAACACTCTCTCTCTATTTCCTCTCTCTCATCCCAAGAAACCCAATACAGCAATGATTATTTCATATTTCCATGAATGTTTTGGAGTCCAAAGAGAGGGAGCATAAAGGTATGTGTGAATGGCACAAGTAATTGACAAACATAAAAAATGAAAAGCATACCTGCAAACCTTGTGAGTTTGAAAAACTTTTGGCAGAACCTTTAGTAAAGCTTCTCGAGTTTCAGCTGTTACAATCTTTTTGGTGGGCACTCTATTTCCACTTGCACTTTTGGGTGCAGTTTTATAAGCATCCAAGTCTTTTGCAGTATTTTGAGCTATAGTGGGCTTCGTATTCTCCTTGCTGCGATTTTGATAATGACTTAAATTATCAGTCAACTTTTTCTCTGATCTTTCCCAAACTTCTTCTTGCTGTTTAACAATTTCTGGATAGAGTTTTATAAATGCTACATCCGGTGACTCTTTAAACTTCCAATCCTTAAAGAAAGGCCTTTCAACAGCGAGCATGTTGAGCATGGCTAGGGCAGGTTTTCTAAGATTTGCAGGCAAGTTAGTAATTTGTGAAGAGCTTGACCACCAAACTCTTGCTAAATAAAATAAGAATATAATCTCTAGCACGCCTTTCAGAAACCTCTTGTTTATATGGGAACAGCAAAGTAGTCCTTGGAGCCCAAAGTCCCTGCAATAATTGTCCATGCTTCTGAAGAACTGTTAAGACATCTTCAACAGTGTCATCTGGAGCAAAGTGCTTAAGAACACTAAATCTTTGAACTAGAGATCCCTATTAAAAACAAACTTGGGGGTTATCAAAGAGGGAAAAAAGAATTGGTAACAGCTTTCAAAAATGACAAACTGCACATCAAGAAAATGTGACTTTCCTATCAAAGTTTAAAATCTTCCTTCAAAATACTAGAAACAAATGGCAGAAACACAAACACCTATTACACTCGTTTCTTACTTTCCTACTGATACTTTCCGATTTTCACTTTTTCAACTAAGTCCAAAGCAGTCCAAACTCCAGAATAATGTTCAGTTGGTTATATTCTCGAATAGGTGCATTCAAATTTTCATATAAAATAATCATAAAAATACTTTAAAACATCAAAACTTTCAATAGTTTTACCATAAATGGTATTCATGTTACTATTAACCCTCCCAAACAAAAGTAACTACATTTAATTATTCTACCAAAACTTCATTCCAAGGTAACCTGGTCAACAAAGGTGGACCTGAAAGACTTCAAATATGCACATTCATGCATGTATTTTGCATCTATGCATTTTTTTTTTCTAAGCATGGACAGCGAGATGTGAAAAAACTTGCAATTCGAAACACCCATAAAATTAATGAAAAAATAACTAGTAATTGAAAGAGTGACACTACCTTCTTGAAGGGCCTTTTGATTTGGCATTGTTGGATGCCACAGGACACAACGAACTCATATAATCATACCTTCAAGTAACACAACACAAAAATCAGCATGCTCAATGCTCCAGAAAGGAAAAACATAAGCTAACGACTTGCAAAATGTTTCGCTGAATAACTAGTGATCGAATAAAAAAATGCTAAGTAATCGTACGGCAGCATTGTAAACTCCAAGGGAGAACCTTCTTGTGCAATCATTTTCTGCAGATACCTAGAAGAGAAATCACTCCTCGAAGCATGGAACAACTAAAGAACACAAGCAACAATTTCTTAACTAGAAGCCAAAGAATTAACACTTTTTATTCAGTGCGTATTGGATTGATCAATGTGAAATTCTATGGATTTCACAATCTATGGATAAAATTCATAAAATTTCACATTCCATCGTTTGGGCTATGGAGTTGAAATATATTTTTGGAATAAAATTAAGCGATTTAAATTTCATTGTTTTTTATTAACAAATATGATGGATTTGAGAAAATTAAATTGCCTTGTTTAACAACCTTAGAATTTAGTTTAAAGATTAAATTAAAAGCCAAAAGTGCTTCGAAATCATGGATTTCCAAATAATACGACATCATAAATATCATCAAATAAAGCAAAAAAAAAAAAAGCATAAAAATCAACAATTAAAAGTTCCTACAACAACACAAATTTGTTTTACTGCATATGAATTTAAAAATTAGATTGAAAATTCTTTTACCTCCTCATCATCTGAAACTTAATCATTCGCTACCTCTGTCTGCTTGATCTGCACCACATAAAAGAAATAAAAGGGGATGATTGAGTACTAGACTCAAGTGAACCTTAATCTTGATATACTAGATGAAACTCCATTCTACCATATTGTGGAAATGTTTATAGAAAGTCTAAAGCTACTATATCCTTATTCACTTTTCCCCTCAAGTCATACGAGATTAAGTGCACAAACACAGAACAGCATAGAGCCAGCACTCAATAACTTTAGCAAAATCCTGGGGTGCCTATAACATTTAGACAAGCATGAAGCCGTAAATATACAAACAGACATATATAATATCTCAGCGAGCAGGAAGCTTTACTTCATATAGAATATTATTAAAACAGAAGATGATTGCACATTTTGAGAGTGTTTAAAGTGAGTTTCATATCCAAACTACAATTGCAATCTGATACTAGGCCCAGAAGCGACAATCTTTGGGACCACATGACCAATTAAAGCACGTACTGGCAATTTAATTGAGGCTTTGTGTATATGTTAGAGAGAGAGAGAGAGAGAGCCTGCTTCTTTGATGGACCAATAGGCTTTCCCCTTGCTGGAATCTTCAATCTTAACAGAAGGTTCTAAGTTAAACGAGGCACTGTTCCTCCTTTTCGAGTCACCGGAGATGACATGTTCCAAAGATGGCCGAAGCTGCACCACTGCATGAATTGGATTCAGGTGTAGCTGCAAGATGATGAATAAGCCAAAGCCTCTTAGAACTGGATATTTCTAACAGTAGTTAAAAAAATATATAATTTCCAGCATCAAGCTGCAGAATCATGATGATAACATTGTTTTCAAACAAGATTCAAAACATGAATCAAAATCCCAACTTTTTGAATTGAGAACTGAATTATACAAGATCCAGTACAATTTTTTTAGAAATCCCTCCTCTAGTTTTTGAGTTTTGCTATATCAGTAGAGTTGGTAACATTGATAATGTTAAAGATCACCCCAAAACCACAACACACCCCCCCCCCCCCCTCTAGTTTTTGAGTTTTTGCTAATATCAGTAGAGTTGGTAACATTGATAATGGTTAAAGATCAACCCCAAAACCCACAACACACCCCCTCCCCCCCCCCAAAAAACAAATACATATGATATGGTTTTATTCTGAATCAAATTTGCAATTGAAGAATCTAAAATTCCTCAAAAAAAAAAAAAAAAAAAAAAAAAGAATCTAAAAGCATATATCAATAATTTTTTGTAATAGGTGAATTAAACGATTTTAAGTAATTAACTAACCGAAAAATATTACAATTTTTCGGTAACTAGAAAACCCAAAAAGAACAAAAAAAAAAAAAAAAAAAAAAAAAAGAATCTAAAAGCATAATAAATAATTTTTGTATAAGGTGAATTAAACGATTTTAAGTAATTAACTACTGAAAATATTACAATTTTTCGGTAACTAGAAACCAAAAAGAAACAATGAGACAGGACATCAATAACTACAAAACTGCATGGAAGATCTATAAGTTTTGCCCTCTATTTGGAAGTAGTTTTTAAAGCATGGAGCTGGAAGTGGACTCTAATATAAGCATAATGTTCTCTTTAGGAGGCAGGCATTCACTGAACAAACCATCAGTTTGATGAGGCCTCTCCATCCTTAAAGCTTGAAATTTCTCTTCAACAATAATTTTATTTCTAGTACTTCTTAACAAACTTGGAAGTTGGAAACAATACAGTATGAAAAATGCCACAATGTGCAAGTATCCAATCCTCTCACTTTCTAACAATTCCTTCTCTTTTAACTCCTCTTCAAGAAGCTCCAGCTGCTCATCAAGTTTTTCAAAGACCTGCTTTTGCTCTTCTACTTCAGCTGCTTTGAACTTGGAAGCTATCTGCAAGATCTTCACAATAAGATTTAGGACAACTTAATTACCTCAATAAGCAATAAAAAAATAATCATTCTTTGTTTTGTTTAAATGTATTTCAAGTACGAAATTCATTTATAAATTGTAGAATCTATTTTATTCTATTGAATTTTTTATAATCAATAATTAAGGCATTAGGGTCATGTAGTCTAATTGATTTTCTCACCTTAATATCTATTTTATATAATTCCAAGAAATGTTTTCTTTTCCTTCTAAGCAAGATCCATCATTTAGGCCTGTCTGTCTTCCCTTCCACTGCAAGGACCAAATCCTGGCCCGTCTAACTCTCCCTTGTTTCTTTTAAGTTATCCTTTCCACCTCAAAACAATAGTTTTCAAGCAATTTTTGAGCTTTTGGTGTTTCTTCATTGTTTGCATTGTGACAGTTCAGAATGAAAATTAGAATCAGAAAATTCCTTTCCTCCACATCAGGTATATATTTTTTTTTTTTTCTCATTCTGTCTTTCTATCACAAAAAAATGATTTTCATATCCTAATTCGTCACGGTTTTACCATTATTTTGAGCAGAGGCTATTGCCACCACCGCCATTGATGTACGCGAAGAATATGCCAATGCCTTCAGGACTGAATCATACAATGACTTTTGGACACGTGTCCTTTCGCTATCCGATCCAACCTCTTCCATGTCTATTCCGGTTGACTCAACAACTGCCGCTCGCCTTCCATCTTATCGACTTTTCTTTGAACATCTTTTGGATCCAGATCAGCCCACGGTTACCAAAATCCTTGCCTTGACCCGTAACCCGCCTAAAACCCACTCTCTTTTAACCCAATATTTCAGCCAAACAGCCAACGCCTCTCTTTTATGTGGCTCGTTACTAAAGGATATCGACCATACACGTGTCAGATACCGCTCTTTAAAAACCGCCATCAAATCCTTGGATCCTTTATCACCGGAGATCCTTTTAACCCGTCTAACCGAGTTCACCAACTCCCTAAATCCGTTTCACTGGTCCGCTCCATCTGCAAGCCAAGTTCGAGCCATACAAGCTGATTGCGCCAATTTGCTCAAGCAGCTCGAGTCAAGCCGCGACAAGGCTAAAGCCAAACTCCAGCTGAATAGCAAACTAAAACATAGCTCAGCTTTATTTGTGGTGGCTTTCACAGCTTCACTAACCGTGATCCTCGCAACTCATGCTTTGGCGTTGCTGGTAGCTGCCCCAGCTCTTTTAACGGCTTCGTTGGAGCTGGGCTCTAGTAAAAGGCTGGGCAAAGTGTCGGCTCAGCTCGACATGGCTGCAAAGGGGACGTATATTCTGAGTAGGGACTTGGAAACCATTAGCCGATTGGTGGCTCGGGTAAATGACGAGGTGGAGCACATGCACGAAACGGTGAAGTTTTGGGTTGAGAGCCAAGGCAATGGGGAAGTGGTGAGGGAGCTGAAGAAGACTAATTGCTGCTTTAGCGAGCAGTTAGATGAGCTGGAGGAGCATTTGTACTTGTGCTTAATGACAATTAATAGAGCTAGAACCCTTGTACTTAAGGAGATTATATACAAAATAAAATAAGGTGAAGGAAATTACATTTCTACCTTTCTTCAACAATCAACTTAGGGTTTCAAATTCTTTGCTGCCTCTGCTTCTTCTTCTTCTTCTATTACTACAATTCTAATAATGATAATCTGTCAGGTCATCTTATATAATATTTTAGATATAGAGATAGAAAGAATTTGGCTACTAAAAATTGCTAAAAGTTAATAAAATGCAACTTACTAAACTTTGATGGCCTCCATGCACAGAGAAGAGAGGAAGAGGGAGATGAATTTGGCGGCTTCTCACTTTTCTTTTCTTCAATTCTGTAGTCATCCATTAAACTCTTATTCCTTCAAATTCTGTAGTCATCCATAAAAATTTTCCAAAGACCCAGATTATAAAATATGCCCACAAATTTGTCTCTCTTTGCATTAAAGAATTAAAGAACACCAATATATAAGTAAACTAAAAAAATATATTGCATTCAAAAACTTCTCTCAGTTTTCATTCCAAAATCAACCTGATTTATTGTTATAGATAGAGGGTGAGTAAAAGGTTGGTTTCGGTTTGACCAAGACTAAAGAACGTGAAACTGAATTTTTCGCACTTGGAATTGAACCGAAGTGAATTTGACATCTAAAGTGAATCAACTTGATTGGATGGCCGATTTTGGTCCACTTTTATCATTCCCGCCATTTTAAGCCCAACTGATTAGGTTTTGTAAAATCGAAGCAAATCACTAATAACTTCTGTTCAAACCGGGTAAATTGACAAAATCGAATCTATTTAAGTGGGTTGACCGAACTAAACTAAAATGGGTCAATTGGATTTTCGATTCAGTTTGGTCAAATGTCATAGAATCCGAATATTTTTCCAAAATGAACTCTTTGAATCAAACTACATTTTATCAATAAAAGGGAAAAGAATAAATGATCTCTACATTATAGTTAAATTAAATCATAAGGACTTCTATTTTTAAAAAACTAAATATGAGGTCTCTAAATTATGTTTCCATTAATACTTTGATCTCTCCGTCTAAAATAAAGAGATCAAAGTGTTACGAAATCAGAATCTATAAGTTTGGGGAGCTGAACTTATGTTTCCATTAATATTTTGATCTTGTCGTTTAAACTAAAGGGATTAAAGTGTTAACGGAATCATAAGTTTAGGGAGCTGACAATTACTTTGACTATAATTTAGAAAATTAATTTCTCAATCAATTGACAATTAAAAGAGGCTATTCTGGATATAAGGATAAATAATGTTAATGGAATTATAAGTTACAAACTTGAAAACAAAGGTACTCATGTGTTACTTTAATTTAAGGACCGATTTTAATTTTTTTTCCCCCCAATAAAAAATATGTTCATAGTCTAACTAAGTTAATACAGAGCACAACTGTATTAACAGACTTGGAAGTTGGAACCAATACACTATAAAAAAAATGCCACAATGTTCAAGTACCTGATCCTCTCACCTCCTAAAATTTCCTTCTCTTTTAACTCCTTCTCAAGAACCTTCAGCTGCTCATCAAGTTCTTCAAAGTCCTGCTTTTGCAAGATCTTTCTTTAACAATCAACTAAGGGTTTTAAATTCTTTGCTGCCTCTGCTTCTTCTTCTATTACTGTAATTCTAAGAATGAGAATCTGTCAAGTCATCTTATATAATATTTGTTAGGATTATAACTGATCTCGAGTGGGGCCTGCGGAAAAATACCGGTGGTAAAAGTAAAATAAAATTACTATTACCACATATACCTCTAATAATTATGTATTGGATGTTGACGATCGAATCCACCAGAAAATAATAATCACAGTAAAAATTTAAATAATTACCGTAAATGTCAGATGGAAAATAAGGACACAGAGATTTACGTGGTTCACCCTTCAACTGTTATGGGCTACGTCCACAGGACAAAAATTTCGAATAATTCTTCTACTAAAAATAGTAGGTACAAAAAGAGATTACAAAAATAGTGGTACTCTAAGTGTTTTCCAAAAACACCCCAAAAATAGTAGGTACAAAAGAGATTACACAAATAGTGGTACTCTAAAGTTTTGTGTTTTCCAAAAAAACACCCAAAAATCCTCACTAATCTCCTCTTTCCCAATTTTAGGAAAACTTTATGTATTTCTATTCTTTTTTTTTTTTTTTTTTTTTTTTTTTTTTTTTGTATTTTGGTTGAGGAAACCTTCTCTGATTTGTAGGAGAAGGGGAAGCGTAATTAACGCGTCCATAGACTGACGCGTTAATTAAGGCATCCATCCTCCCTAATTTTTCTTCATTCAAACGTGTGTGGGTTCCACACGTTTGAATCTCCTTTTTTCTTTGACCAACAAAAAAAATGTGTTTGTTTTTTTTTTTTCAAATGTGTGTGGGTCCCATATGCAGAAGGACCCCACAACAATTCTCCCCCTCCTGACAACATGGTGGGACTCTCCATTCCTGCCGCTTTGACACACAGTTGGAACTTCTCCTTCGAAACTACCTTTGTCAATATATCTGCAGCATTTCTGTCTGTATGGATTTTTCGCAACTGGAACTGCTTCTCTTCAATAGCTAGTCTCAGCCAATGATATCTTACATCAATGTGCTTCGTCCATGCATGATAGATAGTATTTTTGCTCAAGTCTAATGCACTCTGACTATCATAATAAACTATATATTTTTCCTGTTGCACACCCAATTCTTGAAAGAATCGCTTTAACCAAAGCATTCCTTTCCTTCTTCTGTTGCTGCAACGTACTCTGCTTCGGTCGTTGATAACGAAACACATTTTTGTAATCTCGACTGCCATAAAATATCTCCCCCTGAGAATGTAAATAGGTATCCTGATGTAGATTTCTTTCATCAAGATCACCGACCATATCTGCATCTGTGTAACCAACAAGTGCAGCCTTTTCACCTCCAAAAGCTAAACATAACTTTGAAGTTCCTCTCAAGTATCTAAAGATCCACTTCACTACTTCCAAATGTGTCTTCTGGGGAGTTGATAGAAATCGACTCACAAGATATCCGGTCTCGTACACACCATTGCATACATCAAACTTCCGACCGCTGAGGAATATGGAACATTTGACATATCTCCTTTTTCTTTCTCTATTGATGGTTAGGATTTCTTACTCAACTTGATGGAGTGCTAACTGGTTTAGCATTCTTCATATTGAACCTCTCTAGAACTCGTTCAATATATTTTTCCTACGATAACCATAACCTGTAGGACTTTCTGTCTCGGATAATCTCCATTCCAAGAATTCACCTTGTCGATCCCAAATCCTTCGTGCCAAATGCTTTTGACAAATCACTTTTTAACCTACTAATCATGTGTGCATCTGGTCCACCGATTAGCATATCATCAACATATAAGAGAAGGATGATAAATTTACCATCAGAGAATTTCTGGACATATACACAAGGATCTGCATCTGTCCTTTTGTCTTTTGTATCCTGATTCACCATGAAAGACATTTTATACCATTGTCGCGGTGCGTGGTGCTTGTTTCAACCCGTACAAGCTCTTCTTCAAGCGACAAACCATGTCCTCTTTTCCCTTGACCTTGAAACCTTCTGGTTGTTCTATATAGATTTTTTCCTCTAGATCCCCATGCAAGAATGCGATCTTTACATCAAGCTGTTCTAACTTAAAATTCAAACTGGCTGCTAGACCTAGCACAACTCAAATAGAACTCATTTTCACAACTGGTGAAAAAATCTTGTCAAAGTCAATACCTTTCTTTTGAGTAAAGCCTTTCACGACCAATCGAGCTTTGTATCTTACTAGGTTGCCATCATCTTTCTTCAGTTTGTACACCCATTTGTTCTTGAGTGTTCTCTTCCCTTTTGGACCAGCTCAATGTATTTCTTTTTCAAAAGAATTCATCTCTCTTGCATGGCTTTGTCACAATCTTTACCTCGCAAGATTGCACATCAGAAGCTCCTCCTAGCTCCCTCTCGTAAGCAAAATGGTAATCAGACTAGGGTACCTTGTAGATGGTTGGAGTTCCTCTGGTTGAACCTTCTTAATTGAGTTCAACTCCTTCTGATGGATGGGTTTCTGGCTCCCTGCTCAACCCTCTGCATCACTGTTATCATCTACATCGTCTCTTGATCTTCTTCTTCTCGTTCTGATTCTGGCATTCCTCCTCTCGTGACATCATCTATAGGAATGCTTCTTGGTGTAATATCAATAATACCATCACTTGTGGATTCTTCACAAGTTGTATCTGCCATGATCTCATTCTCGTGGAATACTACGTCTCGGCTCCAAACAACTTTCTTTTTCACTGGATCCCACAACCTGTAGCCAAATTATTCCCCTCCATAACTGACAAAAGCGCAAGGAACTGACTTGTCATTAAGCTTTGATCTCTGCTCCTTCGGAACATGCATAAATGCCTTGCAGCTAAATACCCTCAAGTGAGAGTATGAAATATTTCTACCTGTCCACTATCCCGACCTTCTCCGGGATATCAATCAAAAGGTGCTAAGGTAAGTCGTTGATTAAGGGTAGACAGCAGTATGACAGCTTCTCCCATGGCTTGGGTAAGTTGGCCATTTTGAGCATGATTTTGACTCTTTCAAATAATGGTGCGATTCATCCGTTCAAACACAGTTGTTTGAGGCGTACCAGGAACTTCTTTTCATGCCTGATACTATGCCTACTACAATATCTTCTAACTCGTTGAGATGTAATTCACCACCATTCCGTTGCGCAACACTTCAATGCCACTCAGTCTCCCTTTCACCATCGAATGTTGCTGAGTGCTGAATACTTGGTCCTTTGTGCACACAATATACCATGTTTTTCGTGAGAAATCATCCAAATGAGGTTGAATAATTTACTTCCTCCAAGTGATTCTACCTCCATGGACCACATACGTCAAAGTGTACAACTCTACTTGTTGTCTCTCCGTCAAATGAGACACGATGTTGCTTCCCAAATAAACAATGATCACAAGGGTTTATTTTACCTTTGGCTAATGGTATGAGGGACTTCTTAGCCAACATATTGCACCCTTTCTCACTAACGTGCGCCAGCCGCCTATGCCACAAATTTGGTGAAGCACCATCTGCAAC